TGGGGACAAATCATTGTGATGTAGAACCAAAATACATCATAAAGTGTAATTAACATGGTCCAGGACAGTATAGAACATCTATATCAGTCTTCTTTAGACAATAATCATGAAAACTGAACAATAAAAGTCCTTTAAACAAGTACAAAAAACTGTCATGGGCTGGTTTACACTTTTACAACAGTTGTAGTTTAACTGGATAACTGAAGAAATGATGCAGACATTTTAATCCAGTGCTATAGGTAGGCTCACAGAATTAGACCCAAAGGATTTGTAACTCCAAATGAAACCATTACAACTACAATGTCAATGTCAGGAGAGAGAGAAAATTACTTCTGTATTCTAGAATTACTGTTCTGCACACTGCAGTCTGTTGAGGACAAGATTGCAAAGTACACTGGACTAGCAACAACATGCAGACTGTTTTCTTGTATTTACCCACAAATGTCAAAAAACATTATGAAGTAAAAATGAATGATTATTTAAAAATAAAAAAACCCAAAAACAAAACAAAAACATGCCTCAAGTTATTGTCAAGCTTCAAACTTAAAGGCAGAGAAAGCGAATTATGTACTCAAAACTACTGATCTGAAGCACTATTAACACTAAATCTGCAATCCACTCGAAACGGCAGATTTTCCTGCTCCGTCTGCCTCCCACCAGACTGACAGTGAAGACAGTCACACTTTCACAGCTCGTGGTATTTCAGAGCTTTCTCTAGAGGGAGAAGTGAGGACTGCTCCATGTCTCTCTCCCTATGGAAAATGTCAGGGATCTCGATGGAGATTACTGCTGTCTCCTGAAGCCGCATTTGCTTCTAACATGCCACAATGCTGCTTCTGCTTTCTTCAGGCGTCTGGAGAGGGTGGAAGCGATCCCACCGGGGAATGGCTCTACAGGGCTTTGGGAAGGGAGGAGCGATCCTCTCATCAGCCAAAAAGGAATGGGCTAAATCCAGCAGCCCTGCTGTGGCAAAACCCCACAGACACCGGGGCACCCTCGGCTCGAGGGGGATGAGGCCGATTTTGTCCCCGCACCGCCAGCGCTCGCCTGGCAAGGCTGAAGTGACGGGACAGCGGGATTCCTGGTGAAGTAAAGACTGGAAAATTCGGGTCCCAAGGCTCCCCTCTGCTGAGCAGAAAACCCTCTATTTACAGGCTGAACCCCCAGTCTGCAGTGGCAATGAAGCTCCTTTAGTGAATTCATGTGTCAGCTGCTGCGGTCGCCCTGTGCCACCCACTGCTCTCCCTAAACACAAAGGACATTCCCAAGGAACAACGCCCCATCAGATGCCCCAGCATGAGGTAAGCAGTGCAAGGAAAAAGGAGTGCTTTCTAAAATGAAAAATCAATTAAAACTGGTAGAAATCTTTGGCCTTTCTCTCAAGATGCATTAAAGTGTCACAAAATCAAGAAACATGCTTCGAAATGCCACGTCGCTCTGACTCTGGTAACTACTACCTCCCCTCCACCCAACCCAGAAAAAGAGGCACTTTTAGTGTTTCATATAAGATTTCCAATCATCTAGTAGACATGCTAAATAACCCTGCACAATGGTAGTCCCAGAATAAACTCAGTTTATCAACATTACAAAGAGTCTAAAAAAGCTTTTATGAAGACCTAGATATTGTCTTAACTACACTAAAAAGTCCACTGGTTGGGAATCTTTACATCAATTTAAAAATGCAGAAAAAGGTGAAGTAAAAATAGAAAAAGACGAACTCTACAGAAATCTGGATCTGGTCATGCAAAAATGACAAACGGGATTCTGAGATGAATGCACAGAAAGACAGCGAACTCAAGAGCAGTTCATTTCTTATCCCATGATTAATTCTGAGCCCAGCTCTTCTCCTTCCTTTTATCCCCTGTTTGGATTTTTGCCTGTTATGGTGTTGAACTGATAAAAACAGGAACGACTCCATCCGTAAGACTGAGCTTGCACGGACACGCTACACAAAGTCAGGGCCTTGCTGCCATTTGGCTTCCCCTTTGAAAGGAGCAACGTGGGCAGTCTACCCCACCCTGGAACACGAGGCCTTTGTGCTGTAAGAGCCAGCAATTAACGTCACGGCTGTGTGGTGCTCTGGTTTTTGGCTGGCGGGGTGGCAGAACGCGGCGTGCGCGGCTCCGGGAGCAGGAGCAGCACTGTGGCATGCGAGGCAGGACAGCTACGGCTGGAGCTCGGCTCGGGGACACGGCCTGGGGACACTGGCCTGGCCCCAAGGCAGCAGGACACCTCGGCTCAGGGATGCTGGCCTGTCCCCAGGGCAGCGGGACACCCGGCTGGGGGACGATGGAGCCGACGGAGCCGCCGCTCCTGCCGGCCCCACACCTCACCTGGACGCGCTGGAGCTCTGCTGTTCTCTAGTTCTGAGTGTGGGATGCTATGCTGAAGCCATCAGAATTGCAACCAAAAGAGCTGATGATTGAGAAAGAGGAAAATGGCAATACCCTAAAACGTGGCTGTGTGATTTTGCAGCTATGTCACAGAATTCCACCACAATTCGGTTTAGATTGGCTGAAAGAATCATCCAATAACTTTTATGAAAATGAATAAACTGTCCATATTAAAATACAAAAGTACTATCAAGAATCACTTCTGACTTTCAGATTTAAATTCAGTGCAATTGACAAATGCATTGCTAAACGAAAAATGCAGCTTAAACATACTCAAAACATTTGTGTCTATTCCTGGGAGCACAGTTTAAAATTATTGCACAGATTTTTTTTTTTATTTTTATTTTTTTTCATTAAATGACAGAGGTCAGCCACAGTCATGGACCTCCAGCAATAAAAGCAATATTTCAAGTGCCAGACACTCAATATATTAGGTTTCCTACATATTGTAACTCACAGGGTAATTGCTCTAAACATTTGCAATATGTTCCAAAACCCTAAAAATAGCTGGCACAGAACCACCACAGATAACTGTCTTATGGATATGACTTGGTGTTGGTTTTAAATGCTGTGTATGATAGCAGTATAATCCTGGGGTGTATATAAACCATGTATTATTGTTGACTTGTCTTAACCACTGGCAAATTGCTACCCTACCTTAGCCAAACTCAGACTTGCTTCAAGTCATGTTTATTTCATGGAAATAGCAGAAATTGATGCCTAAAGAACAATGGTTAAAATGTCAAAGCTGCATTATCTCAATTAAATGAATTTATACTTAACTTGGAGGGGGGGAAAAAACCCCAAATGAATAAAAAAATAGGTTAGAGACTAACAATCATAAGTCACAAAATTAATTGTGATTGAAATAGTGTTATAAAACCGATAACTTTGCAAAGCTCTGTAATATAAACCATTCCTTAAGTAAAATGTCTGTGACATAAATTTGACAACCTCTCTTTTTATAAATTTACACTCTTGGAATCTTATGCAAGACATGATGCAACCTTTTCAACTACACATACGCATAAACACAACCTCATGCTATCATTTACAAATAAAATCACTATTAGTATACTTTTAATCACATGAGCAGAAAAAGGTTTGCCATATACATCTGTCATTGTAAGAAAAATACTTGATATTGTAAACAGAGTAAAAGACACTATATAGTAGTGATTATTAAAAAAATAGCAGCTTACATCTACCCTATATTTGGAAAAAAATGTAGTCACGAGATACAATAAACTGCAGGACTGGAGCAGCAGGGGAATTAGTGCAAGTATTCATCTTTTAAATAAGCTGAATCACTGCTATTAAAATAAACTTGAAGCAAGTCCTCTGTTTAAGATCTTTCTTTTTAAAATCTAAGGTAGTAAACATTTTGCCTCTTAATGGCAGTGTTATCAAATATATGCCAAAGATTTCATTTTAATAAAGAAAAATTACATGAAATACTTTTAATACTGGAGTTTGGTTACATTTATACATCTAAGCTCCTACAAATAATGATGGGCAACTCTCAAAGAAGCTGTGGCATGAACCCTTGTCCAGAAAGATCTTAACCTCTTAAACAAAATCCCCCAGCTATACTTTGCTCCTTTTCACAATAGTGCACAATTTAACCATATTTTAGCTATGGTCTTAAAGCAACAGAAGATGCATTTTTCCTCTATCTTTTTCTCTTTTTTTTTTGCATCCCTGTTTGTTTTCTTTTTCCTGTGTTTTTGTGCCCTTCTGTTCTTAAGTTTGGCAGAATTATGTCCCAAATAAGAAATTACTGCATTTCAGCCATGTCACCAGAAAATCAAACTTAGCATTATACCCATTTCCATCCTGCTTTGTAGATGAGGATGTGGAATATCACGCCACAAAGAAGGATTTTTTTTTTTTTTTTTTTTAATTCTTCTCTCTCCCTAATCCCTTTTCCACCCTCCCTCTGTTCACAAAATTGTGCTCTGGGAGCCACAAAATGTACCAAACATTATCAGGTTCAAACTACCTCTTCAAAGAATGCATCAAAACATGTTTCAAAGAAATGCCTCTTTTTTTTTTTTTTTTCCCAAGGTGAAAAAATATAAACAAGAAACTAAATCACTCCCTTACTTCATGCATCCGTAAACTTAACCAAAACAAAACAGAAAACCCAATGTTTAAAAGCGAAGAAAAAAAACTACTGCTGCAGATTTCTGTAAGTCCATTTTCTCTGTACACACAAACTGCTCAACTACTGAGAAGGAAAACAAAAATACCCCATAAATCCACATGAGAATGGATTTCATGGGGGAAGGGGTAATGAAGGCTGCCATTAGTATCTTCTGATTTTGGTATGTATATGGGTCTGCTCTTGTATATGGTATATTTCTCTCTCTCGCTCTCTTCTGTTTTTCATATCCAAAAACCTTTAAATGTTATTTTGGGGCACAGCAGATTCCAGCACTTGGTGAACAGGATTCACAAGCTGTGACAAAACTCTGTCATCCTCTTCAGGGTGTAATATTTTTTTTTTTCTTTCTCCTCTTTTTTTTTTTTTTTTTTCTTTTTTTTTTTTTTTTTTCCTTTTTTTTTTTTTTTTTTTTTTTTTTTTTTTTTTATATACAGTATATGTATATATTTCTTTTACATTTGGCTGTAGTGGACTGGCCATGGTTCGATTGGGACTATAGCAGTACATGGGTCAGGGACAGTCATTTTGGCTATGTACACATTCATAGTCGGTCCATGGCTTCCAACTAAGAGCGCTATTTCCGGAGGTCTAGTACACAAACCTGCAAAGAGAGAGACACACATACAGCAGCTGCACAGCACCACGTGCTTCTGCAGCTCTGGGGGAATACCAGAGCAAAACCTGCCACAGGGATTGGGTAAGCTTAGCCTTGTATCTATCACAATGATTAAATAATGACCAGGTGAGCCCTCTATGAACTAAGGGCACTGCTGCCTCCAGAATTGCTATCAAAGCAGCAGCAATATCTTATGTAAGCTGTTTGTCTGTTATTAAATACTTTGAGGCTCAGAACTTACTCGAATCTAGTTTGTAAAAATATAAAATTAAAGTACATGCACAAGTACTAAAATAGATCAGAAATCCAGTTAACGGTGTACAAATTCCAGTTTTAGTTTTCCCAAAATCTCCACTAAATAGTGCTTCTGGGTCTATCAGATAGAGAAATCTATCAGTAAAATGTAACCACACACCAGCTGCAAGCACATTTAAAAGAGAGTGGAGGAGAAGGGCTTTTGCTACCTTCTACAATAGAGAACTAACTCTCTACAATGGAGAACAAAATAAGCCAAACATTTTTCAAAATACCAGAATCTAAGTGAAAACAAATGTATTCCAAGTACAATCAGCCTCTTGGGCCAAATTAATTGGAGGACTGGAAAGGTTACACAGCATGCATAAAAAAGGATCATCTGAGGAGAGTGACAATCAACTTCTACTCAGGATATGCCTTGAGCTTTTGTCCTTTTATGATATTCCCTATACTTAAAAGACTAAGATGATATAAAGACCAATCAAAATTAATTCTCTAAAATTTAGGCTTCTTAAAATCCAGAACTTCCTATTTTGTGATTTGAATTCTAACAAAACAACCTTACTTACAAGCAAGGAGCATTCAGGAGGGAATTGCTTTGGCACCTGTGCTAAGATGCCACCTGAGACTGCACTACTAAACTGCCAGGATGGCTTTTTGCTGATGTTTGTTAAAGGAAGCTGCAGCACTTCAGAACACAATTCCCTCATCAGCCTTATTTTATTTAATTTTGCTTTTCCTTAGGTTTTCCTCTTCTTTCTTTGCAAGACAGAGGCAAGCAAAAGCCCCAGGACTGTGCTCCTGATGCAGGCCCTGCACATTCCCCTCCCACTGCAGCTCTCTGCAGGGCAGTGTCAGAGCAGCCAGGAGCTGATGCTCCAACACCCTGCAGTGAAATGACAGTGGGAGCATTCAGGATTAGTTAAACATGATTTTGTTCCCTGCTTTTCCTAGGCAAAGTAAGCAGACTGATATTTATATATAGCTGCTGACATTTTTAGGAACTTTTTAATTACAAGCATTTAGAAATCTGCACTTTGTTTTGCTGTTGAATGCAATGCAGAAGGCATTTCATTCCTGTCATGCATTAAAATAATATCACCTACACTGAGCATTTTCCCTCAAAAAGGGCAGAGAAAAAAAAACAAATTTCTTTCCAAACCAGCCACACTGAACACACTGACATAGTAGGCACCAGAAGGAACAAAAAATATAGATTGGAGGTATCTCCACCTTCTGAGGTTTTTGGACTGGAATAAAGGTATTCTCCTTAAAATACCACAGCAGGTTTACAGTTGAAAATCTACAGGTGAGCTGGCTGTATTCAACCTTCAGCTAGAGAAGGAAATTTTGCCTCCATTGTTGGTTAAATGATTTCCAGAAGATGTTTGTTATTAGAACACCAGCCAAGTCAAGCAACACTTACTGAACCATCTGAAGCACTTGCTCCAACTTTGTCTCCTGCTGCATTCCAGCAAACCTCAAAAATCCCTCCTGTTCCCCGATAACTGTGAACTAGGGCACCTGTCTAAAAAAGGGACAAAGAAAGAAATTAATACAAAAAAATCAGAGTGAACAAGCTCAATTTGTACATGTAACATTTCCCCACTGCTTTGAAAAGCTAGAATTCTCAGAAGAAAGTGGTCCAGAAGGGACTGTGGACAGTCTCAGCACCTTGGTCAAGAATGTGGAACAACCATTGCATCTTGAGCTCCTGTGTTGGATGGGCAAAACTGGGCATGGTCACGACTACTTCCAATTACTAAAATGAACCTTTCAGAAATTAATACCCCATGCCCAGTAGCCAGAGATTGCATCATAACTGACAACAAGGTCTTTAGACTTTCAAACATTACAAGCCCTTTTTTTCTGTCAGAAAAACAGAACAAGTAATAGTATCCTTTTTGAGAAAGTTTCACAGAAATACTTACGTCATCATTATCTTCCCTCACTTTGCATTCTCTTGTTTGTCAGTGAAATTCAATGAAACAACCAATCAGATTAGTATGTCTACACCCATTCATCATTTATCACAAAAGCCCCTGTTTTATCAGGAATTTAAAATTCAGAGTTAATGAAGACTATTTTTAGATTAAATATGTTCTTAGAAAACTTTTTTCAAGGGGTGGGGTTTTGCTGGAGAGTTTTTAGTTGGGTCTTTTTGGTTTGTTTTTTATCTTTTTGGTTTTTTGCTAAGACAATGTAAAGACAAGTATTACTTCATCACAGCAAGCATTCAAAGTGAGAAATTACATGTACAACCATTAAAAGAAATTATCTCAAAACAAAGAGAAACCAAACCACAACGTCCTCAACACTGACAAGAGCAATACCTGTGTATTCCAGATGTGTACACATTTGTCAAAGGAGCCACTGGCCAGGTACCTGCCATCAGGACTGAAAGCTACACTGTACACAGGTTCTTGATGTTTTGTCAGAGTATGAATACAAATTCCTCTGTCTACATCCCATAACCTAACAGTAGAATCAAAGGATGCACTGTCAAGGGAAAAAAAAAACCACATTAATTACATCTCAACACAACATATTTTTGTACTAATACAAACAGAATATGACTGACAATGATAAAGTATCTTAGGTGCTTCAAAACATTCTGTGAACTTACATTTGTAGAAAATGAGGTAAAATAATGTTTAACAAGCATTTAAAATGAGGAATAAATAGTACCTTGCTAACATAAGATTGGCATTTGGATTATTTGTTCCTGGTCCTGTAGGACTCCATTTGATAGTATAAATTTCTTTGTTGTGTGCTTGTAAATCATGGACACAACTGTCTTGTTTCATACTCCAGATCTATGATAAAAAGAGAGGAAAACACAAATAATTTAGCACAATATTATACTAAAATATGTTTTACATGTTTCTTCTGTATCATTTGCAGGCTGGTTGGTCTTTTAGGCTACTCCAAACATTTACTATGAGTTCTAGATTTCTAGAGTAAGTATGCCAAATTTTATTCCAAGATGTTTCATTCTTTGTGTTCTAAGTCCCCAGTGAGGTTAATTAATAATAAAGGTGCTGCCTGTAGAAATCAAACTGCCTGAGTGAACTGTAAGCCCCTTGAAAAATGCAGGGATGAGAGCAGATGCTGAAATGAGAAGAGCAATATGTAAATGTTCACGTCTGAGTTTATAAAATATCATGGTCCTATTTTTAAATGAACTTCTTGCTACACAGACTGAGTGAAATAAAGGGATAGTAGAGAAATCTTCTGTTTTCATACAAATCCAGAGACACAAATACCACTATGGCATTTTCCTGACTTATTAGTATTTGCCAGATTTCGGTGTTCAGTACTTCACAGAGTTCATTAGAGGACTCCAACTACTGTATGATCATGCTCAACAAACAAAATAACTTTATTCTATTCAGAGTTTACATGTCTTCTACAGAAGGGATTTGGGAAGGCTTTTATACCTTTTCCTACCTGTGACATTTGATACAGCAGATAACCACCAGAATGATATTTATAATAATATCTATCTCAGTAATGCTTTTAGTTCACTTTTTGTTGGAAAAAGCTACCAGGAGCATGTTGAAGCCCATTCGTGTTTAAGATGCAATTGAGGTGCATGTGTAAATAAATGGTGCTTTTCAGAAATGCTGCTTTGCTGAAGAGGAAATTGATTTTCAACGTGCAGATAGAACTGAAATTGTTTTCAGTTTAATAGTTTCAGTTTAATTCAGTTTAATCTAGCTTCTCTTCCCAAAACTAGCACAGATGAAAGAGTCCATATCAGCTGCCCTAGAGAACATTATGTTATAGATAGAAACTGACCAAGTAAATAAATCACTAGGTACCTTCCATGTGCTTCCAAACCTGGTATTTATTCCTTCTGCCATTGAAAAGTGATCCACAAGTAATTAGTGATGTGTAGACTTATCCTCCAGCACTTGGCTTTTGAGCTAATCCTGAACAAAACAGTAACAATTCTTTCCAGCCTGGGCTCCATTCAAAATAGCCACCAAGAAGTTAATTACCTGAATCTCAAAAATGCTGACACATTCCCAATTGTCACCTCTTCTCATGAAGAGGCAGCAGCAACAGCAGCTACAGCTCCAGACTGGAATTCATCACCCTGGAGTTTCAGCTGTTTAAGTATTAAATACCTGGCTCAAGCTGGCTATTTTGACTCCATCCCCTGCCAGTGGAGAACAACTGATGCTCTCAGGGTTTTCCTCATCACACTTGACTTAAGACACTTAACTTAGGAGAGGATAACTTGCTCTTCAGCAGTGCTAGACAGTGCTGACTGGAGATGTCTAGACATCCAGCTTTAGACTGGAGGCTTAATGCTTAAGTGTTTGTATTTAGATAAGGTGATTTCCCTTGCCAGAGCCTGACCGTGTGCCAGCAGGAGGGATATGTGGCTACTCATTCAGCCATTCCCTGATTAAATAACAGTGAGCTGGATGGAATTAACTGTCCCAAGGGTTACTAGTAGGACAGTGCTGTCAATGTAAAAAATGTATCCTGAAACTCTACCAAGCACAGTGCTGAAGGTCCCAGTGAATGCAAAGCATCTGTACCATGGAAGCAGCACAGGCCTGTCAGGCATTAACAACCTCACTTCTGCTGGTGGCAGGTTTGTAAGGATCTCTAGAGTGCCCCGCAGTGACATGTGTAAGCAGCAGTGTCCTCTGCACTCACAAGTTTGCCCCTGTTGTACAAGAAAGCACACAGCTGTGAATCACTTGGAGGACAAGTGTAGGTGTGATAGAAAACTGCAGAATGACTCCTGATGAACTGGAAAAGCCCAGGAGTGCACATGGCCTCTGAAGAAACAACATGCCAAAGATCTTAACTAGAAAGAAGAGGAAAGCAGAAGAAAACCAGGAAAGGAGCAAGTCACCCATTCTTGTATGTGCTACCTGACATGCATTCCAACTTTTTTCTTTTAACCAAAAGCAACCATCAAGCGTGACAGCTTAATGATTAATGACCTGATTCTGTGAACAGCTAAAAGCACCTAATAAATCATGCTCCAAGTCTCAGGCTGGCAGCCTGTAACAAGCTCTCTAGACCAAAGCTTGGCCCTGATTAATACAGATTTCTAGGATTGCCTAACATTGTTATATTAAAAAAGAACAAATACTGGACACAGCAAGTACAGTGATACTGCCACCATGTCCAGGCTAATGGAGTGCATTCCAGAGTCTACAAAGACAAAGGCCAGCCCCAGAACTACCATTACCTTTAGAGTCATGTCATCAGAGCAGGATGCCAGCAGATTGCCAGTTGGATCCCATTTGATTGCATTTACTTCATTCTAAAAGTGAACAATGAGAGTAAGCTGGAGTCTTCCATTATAAAATTATAGCTTGCTTACAAAAGATAAAACTGGACAGCAATTATGAGCATTTGTGTAATTATCAGGATTTTAACACTTAATTTTTATTCATAACTTTGCCTTCAGTAACAACTAAGAGCTTTTTGCTATCCATTTATCACATTTTCCATGCATTCTTGTATACCACCTGGTAAAGTTTTGGAGTTGCCATGCTTCTTCCAAAGCTCACTCTTGCACCCTGGCACTGGTAAAACAAGCTGCACATGGGGGTGAGAATTGTTCTGATAATCACAGAGACTGTGATTACTATAAGACCTTGACCACAATTACCTCTGTGTGCATCTACTGCCTGTAGCCAATTACACAAGTGCTGGGTATTGGTAAGTTTACTGAGCCCCAATCTCTCAGGAATAAAAATATCACAGAGCAACCCCCTTTTTGCAGTACTTACTGTGTGACCCTGGAAGGTTTTGATGGGCCTATCTTGTCCTAGTTTACAAACGTGAATACACATGTCTGTACTGCAAGAGGCAAATGTGTTGTTACTCTGCCAATCAACATCTAATGCTGGTGCTAAAAGAAAAAGAAAGATATTTAAAGCTATGGTACACACTCTGCAGGAATCTGATGTACAAATTTAGCATGCACCACCTTGGAACATAAGGAAGCAATCATAAATTTTACAGCAGTTCTGAAGATAAACAATATGAACAGTAAAAAATGCAGCTAAAACGAGTCATACACTAAATGGAACAAATTTAATATAAGTCATCATATTATGGAACATATTTGAAATCAAAGTTACACAGAAGACAGTGCAGCAGGACATCAAGCTGTAGTTAAGTCATCTTTAAACAAACCTCAAGAGTCAGCACAAGGAACAGGTTCCCACAACTTCACACATCATCATGCATGAGCTCATCTCCACCAGCAGCTCCTGCTCGTGCTCAGGGATGGGTGAGGATTTATTTCCTTTCTTAATTCTAGTATTTAAGGTGTGGTAACTTGAAGCTTAATCATGGGCAACATCAAGCCTGCTATTTATGGCAGACAGCACAGAGAGAACTGCCTGGAGTAAATGCTGAGTTGATGTTTCTGACTGCTGTCATGGCACTGGAAATGTGGCACGAGAGGAAGGACTGGGAATGAGACACGTTTCTGAAAGCCCTTCAATGGCACGTCTGCCACCCTGTCCGTTCTGTTTTCCACCTAATTCTGGCAGGATTGCTCAGCATGCAGCCCACAGAACAATCTGTCTGACCTCCTGCACTCCCACCCCAGCTGGCCAGTGAACAGCTTTCAGCTGGCTTGTGACCAGACAATCCAGGGATAATGGGACACAGGGTGGGATCTCTGCAGCAGGAGGATGAAACGCAGTCCTTAGATGATAAACAATAATCCCTTGTGGCCTGCCCACATCATCTGTCTGCCATCATACTACAGAAAGTCAAGAATATTTGTATTATTTATCTCTTATGGCTTTGCTGGAACTGCAGTAAAACTACAAGTTATAAAATCAGAACAAATCTACCTTTGTTTACATTCTCAATATTCCAATATGGGAATAAGTAACCAAAGACTAGCTGTAAGATTTTTAAATTATGCAAATAAGTACCACAAACATCAGACTTTTAAATTTATTTTTTAAAATAACATGTTTTTGTCCTTTCAGATGAAAAATCTGAATGATGAAATCAAGACTTACCAGAATGAAAAGGAAACTGTTGCTTGGCTTCGCCAGTGTGGGCATCCCAAATAATTGTGGTCTGTGTTAAACAGATAAATAAATAATAAACAAACTTGTACAAATTGCTGATTCCCCCACAACTACCACCACTCACAAGTATGAGAATACCTACCCTGCCCACCATCACCCAAACCTACTCTTGATTATACATTTCTAGAGTTTGATCCAGTACTAAAAGAAATAGTAGTAGATGTACAGAAAACAGTAGAAAATTTAAGATTGCAGCAGAAAGATCTTTAGCCACAACATTTTGGGGTCTAGAGAAAAAGGGAATTTGTGGGCTTTTAAACAGTTTTATCCCCTTAGCCCTATTTATATTCTTGTCATCCATTCCACACACCTATTTTAAATTCAAATACTTGTATATTCAAATTACAGTATCAGCTCCTCACTTGCTCCTAAGGAGATGTTATTAACAATTAGTCACATATTGAAAAATTTAAGGGTGTAATTTCCTTCTATGTTGTTCTCTGCCAATACTTTCATAACCTTCTGGTTAAAGAAATCTTACATGACAAAATCGGTATCTTATCAGTATGTTATATGCCAATATCCCTGCCCTACCTCAATGATCAATGAAAATTTTAACACCAAATACAATGGAAGCATGAACTGACCACACAAAATTATGGAAAAGGAGCCTAAGGTTGGTCATTCTCTCTGCTAAAGTGGAATATTTTTCAAAGCATAATCTCAGTTTGTCTAAGTAGTTTTATTGACTGAAATAAGGTTTCTATTTCTTCCTTAATTATTTTCCTGCAAACGAAAGCTGTACCTCCACAAATATTTAAAAACTGGCATAACCATCACAGATGCCAAAAGAGTAAACACAATCCTTTCCATGCTTTGAGACATTAAATTTTCCTTCCTTTGTGCCAGCACAAGCATTTATAAAGCTGGCCAATAAAGCAAACCAAGTAAATGCATGCAGGGGAAAAACAAATAAAGGAGAAAATTTACTACTTTACATTGACACTGCCAGTTTTAAGTGGTTGTACTGAGGTTGCAGTTTGCCACTCTAAGAGAGAACCTTTGCTGACTTCTGCAACTTGAATCAGTTACAGAGGAAAAAATCAACTCTCCTAACTCTTGCTATAGTCTATTTGATTCTCTGAAATCACTTTAGGTGCATTTCCCCATCACTCTGTGCCCTTCCTACCATCCATACATAGAACCTCTCATACTAACAGCAGCTCTGAACTGGAAGACCTTGTAAACCTGAATTTGTTTAGACATGTGAAATAAAACACAGTAAACAATGAGCTCTGTGGCATTACACAACTGGCAGCTCCCCAGTCACATATATCAACTTCCCCTATGTTCCAGCTCTAATCTTTATACTTATTCTCAGGTTTGACCGATATCCAACTCAGCCTCGACCTACCACTCTAGTACATTTATTTTTCCTAAGGCTTTGCATGAAGTGCTTCACTGAATTTAGATGGTTTGGTTTTACAAAGGTTTAATGTTTCTGGTTTCAATTAGTTTCCAACTCAGACTAACCTAAATGGGAAGAGATCAACAGACACTGTAATCTAGGAAATTAAAATATCTCAACAAACTACTATAAAACCCAAGGAAACATAGTTAAGCATAACAAGATCTTTGTAAGCACACATTTACATCCTATGCCTTTAGTGTCAGTTACTTACTTTGCATAGTTTTGCTATTTTGCTTACAGTTAGATTATAATGGTGAAGGAAAGAATTTTAATTTTACCAAAGATTATCTCACCTTGTCCACTCCTGCACTTAAAATGAAGTTTCCTTTCTTGTTCCATTTTAACGCAAATATAGGACCTTTATGTTGCCCTAAGGTGCTGGCAAGATTACCTGAAAATTTATATTGATATGAATACATTAAAAAATAAAAAACTATGCCGTGAGCCACAATATAGGAAAATATATCGTAAATTAAAAAGCATTTTGCTTACCATCTTTAGTCCATATCCTTGCAAAGCCATCGTAAGACCCAGTTGCTAGAAGTGTACCTTCACTCTGCCAGCAAAAAGGTTATTTATTTATTTATTTTTACTGCTTAACTCAAAGAGCACTAAGCAAATTTGAGGTAGAATAGATCTGCATAGGATTTAGGATATTTTACTGACTGCAAGTTATTAGAAAGAAGTATAACAGAAGAAGTTACAAGAGTCATCAAAACAGAACTATTTCAGGTGCTGCCACAGAGGCACCGCTGCCGTCACCTAGAAGTTGCCCGTGAGGTGCTGTCGGCAGGGTTTTCCTGGGAGCACTGGAGCGCTGCCAGGAGCTGTGCTGCCAGGAGCTGTGCTGCCAGGAGCTGTGCTGCCAGGAGCTGTGCTGCCAGGAGCTGTGCTGCCAGGAGCTGTGCTGCCAGGAGCTCTGCTGCCGGGAGCTGTGCTGCCAGGAGCTCTGCTGCCAGGAGCTCTGCTGCCAGGAGCTCTGCTGCCAGGAGCACTTACGTTCCAGTCCAGCGAGGTCACGTCCTTGTTGCTGGGCACGTCCTGCCCGCCCTCGCGGATGCAGTGCCGCAGCACCAGCTGCGTGGAGCCGCTCGTGCTGTTCTCGCTCAGGTTCCAGATCCGCGCCGTCGAATCGCCGGACCTGCAGCACACCCGTGGGGACACAAACCCTGCGGGTCACCCGTGGGCCGGCCACGTGTGGGCACCGACACGTGTGGTTATAGTGACAGGCTGTAGTGTTAGGTAACATGCAGTGTGCCATATACCAATAATACACACTGTGCGGCATTATAATATGTGGTATGAAAAATAATAGAAAATATACATTGTACTTTTATATATACAGTCATATAAAGCACCATCTCTATTTTATACATATTACATATACACATTTATATTTACATTTTATGTATTACACATACTTTTAACATATATTACATTTATATGTACATTATAAAAATATTTATATAATATATATTATATATACTATACATTTTATATATTACACATACATATATACACATATGTATATATAGTATGTAATATAGAATATAATGATATATGATACATGCTGCATAATATATATGCTATATGATGTATATTATATAGACTATATATTATAATAAATATATTTATATATTTATATATTATAACATTATATTATACTATATTATACTATATTATACTATATTATATTATATTATATTATATTATATTATATTATATTATATTATATTATATTATATTATATTATATATTGGTTATTTATTAATTATATATTAATAAGAAATAATAATAAAAGTCCATTTTAAAGCACTATTCTTTAAAGAACAAACACTGTGGCTATTTGATGTTTGGGGCAGGTATTCCCTGAGCCTTCTTCCCTTGCATCATCATCAATAATAATAATAATAAAAATCTCCATTTAAAATAATAATAATAATAATAATAATAATAATAATAATAATAATAATAATAATAATAATAATAATAATATAAATTTTAAATCACTAAAATAATATTATACCATTAATATTTAATAATTATAATAAAGATAATAATTATTATAATACTACTAATAATAATTTCAAAGCACTGTTTTCTACACAGCACCATGCCATTTGACGCTCGGGGTAGGTGTACCCTGAGCCTGCTGCCTCCCATGCAGCAGCAGCGTGCCCCAGCACAGACCCTGCACACACTCACAGCAGGCAGTGCACATACCCTGAGGCCAGAAGGTCACTAACGGGATTCCAGGCACAGATGAACACTTCGGATTCGTGGCCACGCAGCACCACTGCCTTGTTGGGAGGGATTTCCACATCTCCATCTACTTCCATCATATCCGTGTGATTATCTGCATTATGGGAAACAACAGTACACAGAGGTGGATTTTAGTATTTGGGGATATTGTGACTCCTGTATGGTTCAGATTCTTCTGCCATGAGTGCAAGAATTCACAATTTATGTGATTCAAAAATTTGACAGAGCTGTCATGCTCTTTTATTTTTTAAGTTCCAATTAATGAAGCACTATAAACAGATGGGGAGTTTCGAAAATGTGAGAAAACTCTTCGCCCCTGTAAACCTTCCCCATCCGCATGGATTTAAATTTGGAGCTTTAGAATTAGGGCCAAAAGTGAATTTTTTGCTATGTTAAAAAATAAATGCTGTTACAAGTACTCTTGTTTTTCAGGCCCAATACTGCAGAGTACAATATGTTACTAGTCTAGCTTGTGCTGAAAGAATACATTTATAACACATTCATTTTCAAAAATCTCTCTTTTCACCAATTGCAGTCTAACAGGTTTTAAATCCGTATCTCTGACACTCCATTTACAAAATGCCTTTAATGAATATAATTACATTTGGTGATAGAGTTAACATAACCAAGCTTCTCAAACTTCATCAGCAATTACCATGGAATTATGGCAGTGTAACTTTCTGCGTGGAAGTGAGATTGAAACCATATTGTTCTGTAGAACGTACTAGGGGTAATTCAACTGACAAAATAGTTTTCTTGGCATCTACCATCAATCATTTTCTATTATTAAAAATAAATTCATGATGAGTGCAAATGCAGAATGTAAGGAATGCTGCACAGTTCACCTGCTCCATATTTATTCACTGCAGTTAAAGAAAACATTTCACAGCTATTGCTTAATTTAGCAGTAAGGGTTTCTGCCACTCTTTGTGAATGTGAGAAAATAGAGGAGGTTATTAAAACATCAGTATTTTTTCAGAAAGAGCACCAACATAAAGCATTGCTTCAGTCAGAGGATCTGTGCCAGTCTGAAGTGCTGTACAGCCAGCAGGGGTTGCTGGTAGATCACATTTAACAGGGCTGAGATCCAAGGTCTACCTCTATCCAGCTCACAGTTATCAAGTAAACACTCCTTTGAGATTTTTAAATTAAAGCATCAAAGTAGAGACCTCATTTGTTTCAGCCAAAGAACATTTCTAGCTTTTTATCATATATACTAACGAAAAAAATCTAGTAAAATCAGTCTGTAAAACTTGTACATGGCTCAATATTAATATTTTCTCCAAAATGGCATTTTTTCAGGTGTTTTTACAGAAAGAACTGTAAATTCCACACTTAAACATACAATTCAGGCTTCCAGAAGAGTATTTACAAAATCACAGTTTAATGCCTGACCCAAACTTTTCCACACTAAGCCTTATTGCAATATAGGTTTTTTTGACCAGTGATGACAAACAGAACCCATTTATTTCACCAATCACAACTGAAATGGAATTCATGAATAAAGCAAACCTGAGAGAAGTTGCATCAAGCAATTTTGAATAAAAAAATAATGAAATTGATAAAAGTGACAAGGGACACAGGGCTTGTCCCAGCAACCCCTGACCTCAATATCACTAGAACAGCCAGGTACAGCTCTTGGATTCATGTGTTTTACAGAACTTTTTGGAAGAAGTTTGAAGAGCTTCACCAGCAATACTCAGTTTTAACCAGCCATGGACTGGCAGACTCCTTTCCTCATTTCTTGTACAGGAGTCTTTTTTTTCTTTTTCTCCTTTTTATGCAAGGGCCCTGTGACAAACATTTAGGTGATGGAAAAGAAGCAGTACTGGAACTGAGACCAGTCAAGGGAATATTGTGAATTAATGAATTCAGAACTTTGACTCCTGCAACCCCAGATATCAAAAATGGAGACAGCCAAAGGTGAGACAGGATCTGTTCAAGGATGACCCATGATGAAGGAATTCTCAGCAAGATGAAGGGTTACTCCAAACTCCACATTTTTACCTCATTGTCTACAATCTCATACAATGATAAACAACTACGAAGTGCTAACCCAGCTTAAAGCAATTTCTGTCTCAACTTACTTGCTATAGTGTGTGCTCCATTTTCCTCTCCATTTGCAGTATTTTCTCCATTTTTTGCTGATCCCTGTTGGTTGGTAGCAGCTGCAGCTGCAGCAGCTGCTGCCTGCTGTTGTGCAAGTTTGTCTCTGTAGGCCTGTTGTCTTGTCTGTACCACATCAGGCATCACTGCATCTATCAGTGAGAGAGACTCTATCGGCCTACCATCAAACAAGGTACCATCCTAAATTACAGCACAGGGAGAAAAGAAAAAAAAAAAGATAACACCAAGTACAAATTAACATTATGGACAAAGATTCCAAGCAAAACTAAAGAAAATATTTTGATTTAATATAATAAAGCAGTTTACATATGGTGCTGGAAGTGGTATCTCATCATTGTTGTGGTCAGGACTGGAATTTTAGTTTAAAGTGGCCACCATAAATATGTAAAAAAAGACACCACAGGCCTCTGGGAGAGTCTGTGGAATCAAAAGTTACTTGTTTTGACTTTGCTGAATTGCCTGCTAAAGCAAAAAATTCTGTAAGCTATCTATGAATACGATTTCAAACATGAATGGCTGCAGCAAAATCTAATGGTTTGTTTGGAGTGAGAGCTGCAAACATTGCAACTCGGGTCACTGACTTGTGAAGTTATAGTCTTATTAGACTAATACTTTCCATAAACATATTATCTGGGGAGTTGACTAGTTTTCTTCCTTTTTTTAAACTGTGCTGGCATGCTTTCAAACAACAAGGAAGAATTTTATCCTGAAATGGACAAGACCCAGTTAAAAATACCCTTATACATATGCTAGGGCTTTGTAAGGATCTATTTTTAGTGAATACAAGGATTCCTTGCAATAAATATAGGGTCTTCTTCTATTCCTACCACTTGCTTTATTTTTCTGAGGCTTCCTAAAGGAAAGAATTTGCTTCACTAGGACTGTGAAAACCACACAAACAGCAGACATAAGGGAGGACTGGAAAGTGAGCAGAATTAATGGGGGGAAAAAAAAGTTTCCTTCAGTAATCTGACTGACACACAGACAGGTTTCTCACCTTCCAGGCAAAAATGAGAATGGAAATTGAGGGAGAGTGTCTGCAGCATCAGGCAGGAAGATACATAGCTTTCTGTACTGCTGGAATAACCATTTAAACATCAAATTTAACAGATACTGCTCAAGATGAATTAGCCAGCTGAGGCAAAAGGCAAACTGGCATATACCTTCAGCCTTCCTGCCACAAATCCAAAGCCTCTCTCTCCTTGGAAATCTTGCCTCTGGGCTCACATTACTTCACTGTGATGACACAAGAGCCCAAACAAAAGCTGCACAGTGCTCTCCCCACATCCCTAGTGCCAGTCTACAAAACTAAAAAATGAAGAGATTACTGGTCTCAATTATCCTAGGATGCACTACAACATTAGAGTAGGGTCAAATCTCTGCAGACAATGGACCTTTAAGCAATGAGCCACAGCACCATGCCTGGTGTTGTGCACTGGGCAGAACCCCCACCCAGTTGTGTCACTCTGGTTCCACCACTAGAGTCATGGTGAGCAACAGAAGCAGGGAATCTGAAGTAAAAGTAAATAGGACACAAGAAAGTTAAAAAATATTAACATTCAAACTTACTGCAAGCAAGGACACAACGCTCCAGCAGGCAAAGCCTCCTTACCTCATTAATACTGACTTCTGCCTCTACATACTGCAGACCTTTCTGGATGATGGAAATCAAAGCAGCTGGTGGCACCAGAGCACCATTTATATTAGACTGGCTGATATGGCTCTCTATACCAAAGGTAAATGCTGAATGGGAAAACCCTAAAGACAAGGCAAAGACATCAGAATTGATTTACAGATAGACAATGCTACTTGCTGTACCACGGTCAGACCTTCTGTTTAAAACCTGTGCAAATTATACCAAATAAATGCTATACTTGTCAAAAACTTGTCAAAACACCTCAATTCCCTCATAGTTTAAATGTAAAAAGAGAGAAAAGCAAAGTTTGTCTATAAACACAACAATTATTAATTACAGTATCAATGGCAAAACATTTGTGCACGAGTCAATATAAAATACACAATTCACTATAGCATTTAAATATATTTGTATATTCAAAAACTAAATGTTTTGACATTGTATCATATGTAGTATTTAATTAAAAAATATATATCCAAGACACAAGACTCACTTGCTATTTTCACTCACTGATTTGATACCCATCAAAGTGAAATGGATCTGTCTGTGAACAGAATTCAGCTCATGGTACAGTGCTGCCATAATTGTACATGCTCTGGCATTTAGAGCTACATCAGCACTGTGCACTGATTAAGAAGTGGCAAACATGTTATGGTGCAGCAATGGTAGCTGCTTGCTATTTATTTGAACACCTTGAGAAAGTGAATTTAAGCAAGAGAAAAATAGTTGTTTCAGCAAGTTAACTATTGTCATGGCATTTTTTCTTAAACCATTTTATTTTTTTTCCTTTTTCCCTGCCACGTAAGCAAGAAGCTGCCTGCAAATTTTCAAATGAAGATGAAGCAATTTTGTAAGTTTGGCTTCTATGACAAAAGCAATTTGCAACTGGCATAAGAGTGTGTAGTAGTTTTCAGTACATTCAGGCAGAAAAATGAGGTTTTGCTTTCTTTTGACAAGCAGAAACTGTAAAAGTCTGCCATCCACCATTGCTTCTGGTGCTTCTCTTCTCAATTTGGGAAGTCCATGAGCAGTGGACATATGCTGCATCAGTCAAATGCATTTCCAACAAGCCTGAAGCCACCTATCAGCAATCACTAAACAAAAACTATGAATCAATAAACATTGAAACACCAAGGTAAAATATGAAATATATGTGTATATTTTCTTATATATCTGTATGTATATACATTAAAGATGATCTCTTAAAGCTCCAGTCTTAAATAACAGTGTATTTTGCTTTAATATGCAGATTTCTTTTATGTACTGCTGAGATCATATTCCCTCCTTCCAGCTGACAATCATCACTTGTTCATTTACTAGGGCATGCCCTGACTTCCAGTCAGATCTTCCCATTCTAAATGTAGGCTGTGTTAAGCAATCAATATCACAGTTGTGAGTAAAAGATGATGTTGTCTCTTACAGAGCTTCACAAATAACCACCACCACAAAACTCCCTGAAGCCATATGGCTGCATCTAGAAACCCAAACATGCAACACAAACTCAAACTGCTGATCCGACTGGGCTGGGGAAGCTTTAAAAATAAGGGAGCACTGCTGCATTCTTGTGTTGTACAGACACAGTCAGTGTGGAGGGATATGATAAGAAAAAGGTTTCTTTTCAAGTCTGACAACATTCAAGTGTCTTTTGCTCTTTCTTCTAAGAAGCAGGAGAATTCAGCTACTCAGAAGGACAAGATCCTCCAAAAAAAGGTCCTGGAGGGATGGAGGCTTTTTGGGTTATTCCTCTAAAAAATCTGTTTATCTCTATTTAGAGTCAAGTGATACAAGCCATAGTCACAGTTGTCACTTCTTCCTTTCAAACACAGCCACATCTGCCCTCCCAGTCATGTTCAGGCAAGGAATTCGGCTACACAAGACCAGCTGGCAGAAACACCATCACTCCAAAACAACAGGAAAAACCAGCATTTTGCTGATCTTTCTATTTTCTTCTTCAGGCAGCCCTGAAGAAAATGGTGCAAAGTGCCATCATCACCCTGCAGAGAAGCGATCTCCAGAAAAATGCATTTTAGCAATCGAGTGAGTCCTTGACTGCCATCTGAAGACTACAAATGACTAAATCTGATTAAGTTACAGAAGGTAACTTGGCAGGAATTCATTCTCTTGTTGAGAAGAAACACCAAGAAACAGTTCAGACAGAAGCACATGCCTACTGGCAAAATAGTTAAATAAGCCTGTGTTTGCTAAAGCCAGTTGCAGATGAAGATCAAATAAATTATGCATTGTTTAATAACCAGAAGTGTAAAAACTCACCTGACTCTTGCAAGTATCTATATACCAGGAAGTTAACCTCATCACTGCTTATACTCATCTTTATTCCCAGTTAAACCATGAGGTCACAACAAAGGACACAACCCTGCAAATAATAAAAAAAAAGTAGGTCAATTAAGTATTTTTAGTACCTAATAGGTATTTCCCAACAAATGCTATATTTATAAAGTAAGTAGCTCCCTGGCAGCATAGACAATGGCTTTATTTTATAATGCAAATAAGTCTACTGGAGTCATTAAAAAGTCATTTGTCTCACCACAAAATAAAGGTCAGTAAATTAAATATTAATGGGACAGATTCTCATACGATGCAAGTTGGTATGGACTGGGGAACTCTGCTGTTTAATACCAGTACTAAAAAAGGCTTCATATCACAGGTTTTACAAAATAATCGAGCAAGCTTCATCAGATCTACATTACTGCTATGGAATACATTTTTTATAACATGGGGCTCTCTCTGCCTGGTTAACAAAGACCAAGACCGTGATTTCACATTGGCATCCTGGCAGGTTCTCACTTTTATGTTCTTATCTACTCCAGTTTTCAGGTACTCCTGCTCTAGTGAAAAGGTGCAGAACAGTACGAGCTACAACATGGTGTCTGTTCAAACAAGCCCAGCTAATCCCACTAAAGATTAGAAAACAGCCATGTCTTTTGGCTTTGCAAAAGGAATTCTTGACATTAGAAACAAACTTTAAACAGTCTATTTTTAGTAACATTTCCCTAGGCTTTCAATCAATGCTTCAAAAATATTGATGGGATATATATATACTTACACACAGTTTTTTTCTTGATTTTAGTAATGGCCAATATTTAGCAAGACAAATCACATATCGGACTATAAATACTTTTGATTATAAACTTGGAAAATATGAGGCAACAGCAGTCTTTAAGACATGAAGAGACAGAATACAGTAATTTTTCTAACTCAAAGTCTTGTTTTTGAGAACATTCTCATGATGTCTGAATGTTTGAAAACTCTGACCTTTCCAAGTAAACAAGTGAAAACATCAGCTTTCAGAACATGTTATGAAATAATGTCCACCTCCTGCTCCAATTATCTGTCCAGCACTTTCCATCAGCAAACCTTCCCAGGTTTTTACCCAGCTGACCACCACTGCTGCTTCTCCTATAGAACTGGAATCTGAGAAGGCAAAGTGACTTTCCTACTGCTATTTGACAAAGTTTTACCTGGGATCTGATGTATAAAAGTACTAGAGAATGGGTTTTCCTACATCATTCAAAATAAAAAGCTTTTGCTACATGGCTGCATGGTCAGACCACATCCCACTGCTGCTCCAGTGGGAAAATGGTGAATACAACAGAAAGTAACAACTACAAAGTTGTGATTGGCATTATAAGGCTGCCATGTGGATTCCCCCTGGGCATCTTTTCCTAGCAAAAACTCCCAAGGTAACAGGAGAAAACAACCATACTGTTTTTCTTATCATCCAACTTTGAGTTTTACCAGTCAGCTGCAACTCAGCTGGACAGTGGGAACAGTGCTCCAGGATTGACTTTCCTACAAGTCCCATCGTGCTGTAAAAACAAGACTCAAGCCCCTCATGATGAGTAGAGGCTGAAGGATGAACTCAGGTATGAAGAGGAGTTTATCTGCCTGAAACCACACATGGATATCCCCAAAACTGCCCCAGGCATGAAATCACCCAGCTCAAAGCCATGCTGTGGGGGAGATGGCTTTAGTTTCTCAAGGAAAAAAATTAAATTGTAGTTCTACTTAAATCCTTTTCATTTCTAAAGGAAAAAGTTGCCCCAAGACAATTACTTCTAATTAGGTGCAACATGACTGGTACAGGGAGGTACTTGATACCAACCTTAGTCCACCTCTCCACAGCCCCAGCCACGCCTGGGGTACAAGACATCCCTGCCAAACTCCAATACATCTTTGAGGACTGTTTTACTGAGCAGAATGTAAAATGAATGGCATTTTTAGCCATTTAATGCATTAGCAACCAATTCCACCATGTGCAGGACCAAACACTAATTTTATTCAGCTAAGTTTTGTTGCCATACGTGGAGCAAATTATCTTTCTTTAAGACTTTTTTACAGAAAAATGCTGTAGGAAGAGGAACAATATTTTCCTTCAGAGAAGGTAATTAATTTTAAAGAGGCTCATAAAGAAGGTTTTTTTTACATTACATACACATACACAATTGGCAGTATTTTTTTCACAGGTCTGTCACAGAGTTTCAAAATCCTGCTGCATCACCAAAAACGATAGATCAAACCACAGAAATCTGATGAAACTGCTATTTGTCACACAGAGCGGTCCTGAATTATTTATATAAAGAGGGCTCCCCCCTCAAAGCAGAACTGTGGAGGTGCCACATCAATTCACCTGTTATGTAGCTGGGTAGCTGAAAGAAGAAAAAAAAAAACCAATGTTTTGCTTGTCTGTCAAAAGTGTTCTTCACCCTGCCTGAATCAAAGGAGCCTCAATTTTCCAAGGCTGGTTCCGAGTGTTTTCACAAGCAGCTCCTGCCCGGCCATCAGGAGGTGGCACTGCAGCACCAGCTGTGGCACCAAAAACACAGAAACAGCTCCAAGGAACGCATGGTTCGCCTGATGAGGGGCTTGAAACTGGAAATAGTGCAAAAGGTTTTACCAAAATACTGCTTTGTGCACGTTTTCAGTGCTCCTTTACATTTTGTCGGGAGGTCTTTTCTGTGTTTCCCCCACCCCAGGCTCTGTGGCTCGGGCAGAGCCTGGGGACAGCATCCCACAGCCAAGTGACACAAGAAATGTGAGAAGAATGAGCAGCAGCAAACCACCTTCCTTCCAACCCAAAGCAAAATGTCACTTTAAAAATACAGTAGAAGAGGATACAATAATTATTTCCCTTTGACACACGCTGAATAACACCAGGCTTACACTGCCAACCCTCATATTGTTTGTGACAAGGGACCCATGACTATACACATGTACCCTACATCCTAAAAAAATTACTTCATCAATGCTGGCTGATTCCCCCCAGGTTCACTATTTCCACAAGCAATCAACTACTCATTTTGGACACTTTAATAGATATTAATATTGCTCTTCATTTTATATGCAGAAATTAAATCACCAAAGAGACACATAAAAATGAGACAAAAGTAAGTAGAAGTTAACATGCAATTCCTAGCAATCTTAGATTTGTAGCCTAATTTGCATAGGGACCATTAAAATATCTTAAAATATTTGCAGCTTTATGCCCCATTCCAAAAATGTGATGAGATCCTTAAGGCCCTTTATCTTCCTTGCCCTTAGAAACATTCCAGGTCTTCCTCAAATCATTCTGTGGAATTACATGGCAAAGAATGATGCACCCACATTGCTGTTTTAGATCCAATTCTGCTTTTAAAGGAAATCTCTCCCACTTGCCTCTACTTCTGTTTTGCACACTGGAGCAAGCACAGCACATGTGAAGTGGATTCCTCACTCGTAAAACCAGGATTAAATAAATAAATAAAATACCCTATAACAGGTAAAAAAAGGATGGGCCTGAGAGCTTATGAATGATGCTCAAATTGCTCATGGGACCACACCAGGATCGATATTCCCTGCTCAAAAAAAACTCCATTTCAGCAGGCCTCTTCCCAGGATTAATTTCCCTTCCCAGAGGATGGGCCTATAGTTTGTAACACCACTATTCAGAATCAGCACAACATCCAGATATCCCAGGTAATTTTTAAGTCTGCTATAGAAAGTCCCTAAAGTCCCAAAATTTATCAGGCATAACACACATCAGCCATAAAAGTCAACAGTCTATAGAGATGCCAGCCTTGAGATTTACTCAGTAACAGGTCAGGAGCAGACAAGACACACACACCTGTGCTTTAGACAAACTGACCCACTCAATGCATGCCAGGAATCACACAAAAATTCACTTGGAAGCTACTTTTTCCAAAGGAAAGGCAGTTTATTATCCCAGAGACAACACCAGCTCTGGCTTTGCTCCCAAGCTGGCAGAAGCATGGCTGTGTTTCTGTGCCTGCCCCAAGGGAGACAGGGCAGGTCTCACCCCAGCACCTCTGTCCCTTGAGGACCATTCACACACTTCATACCTGGGGGAAAATCTACAACTAAAATCCATTAAAAAGGAGATTGAATTCTACTCTCAGCAACACCAGGTCTAATCAGTGCCCAACAGTGCAAACCTGGCTGTGCTTCTGACAAATCATTATTCCACCCCACATGTTTGTGCTAGCTTTGCACTCCTTGTCCAGGTTCATGCCAAATGCTGGAGAACAGATGCCACCTGATATGGCTCCTGGCCTAATAGGTTTTTTTGGTTGTTTAGGGGATTTTTCCAGACAAACCTGAACTGGCAGAGAAGGTTTATACATCAGATTATTACTGGGTATCTCTTAATCACCATTTGATAATGTATACTGGAGTTACACTACAATTAGTGTTATTGTATCATCAAATAACAGCCTAAGAAAGTGGTATTTCTGCAGTTGTAGCTGGGCTCCAACAGATTCCCAACAGGTAGGATAACAAGAAAACCTGACATGCTGCTGTGAATAATGGTTCCCCAAAACCATACCAGTCATTAGTTTGCTACAAATATGATATGTTAAAGGGAGCAGCTAAGGCTCTGGGTAGCCCTGAAGAATGCTTAATGTTCAGACATAAACAGACTGCTACATTAATCCATGGAAAACAGAAGTCTGTCTGCAGAAACAATAAATCCCCTACAACAAAAATATTGCCATTGGAGCTTTTATTTTTCCTCTTTTGCAAGAAATCTAGACAAGTACTTTGCTAGCATATGCACACATAGATATTTTATCAATTGTTGCTTAAGATTATTTCTTGGTTTTAATGGCCATGATGATTAAAATAAAAAGAGCAAAGGGTGCTGTTTCAATACAGCCACTCAAACCTGGCAAACTCCTGGATATGTGAGGTTTCAGCAGATTTCATTCAGATACCAAAGCCAGCACAGGTCACAGAACTGGAGATTTAAACCACAAAACACCATTCCTTGTGGCTGCTGTTCTACTAAAGCTTTCTCCCAATGCTCTTCCCTGAGACATGGTGGGTCCATCCCCATTGGCTGAAGAAATTCCTAAGTTT